GCAATATCTCATAACAATAACAGCCCCTCGGGCAATCACATAGAACGGTACCAGCCCCTCGGGCAATCACATAGAACAATACCAGCCCCTCGGGCTATCACATGGTACAATATCAGCCCTTCGGGCTATATCTCACATTACAATGGGTACCGGCGCTCATTGGGGGTGTACAGACTCCAGGAGGGGCCCCTTACGGCCCAAGCGCAATATCAAGCCACATCGTGGCATCATAAACAGGCTCTCGGCCTCATATCAATATCAACAAGCCACCTCGTGGCGTACATATCTCAGGCCCTCGGCCTCATAATCAAATCAGTGTATCACCGCAGCGGCGTGCAGCTCGACCCAAAAGTATCCTCACAACACAGGCCCTCGGCCTTACTCAGTCAAAAATCATCACAAGCCACTGGGGCAGTAGTAAAACAGTGTTTCTCAGCCCAAAACATCATTTAAAATATCATTTAAATCTTAAAACTGAGTAAACATGGCTGAGTAGTAACAAAGTGGAAAATAACATGACTGAGTTCAAGTAATAAGTCAAAACAGTGAGAAAATAGTAATTAAAATCCCCAAAGGGTTCAAATAGTTGGCACGAAGCCCAAATATGACAATCAACCCAAATCATGAAGATAACAAATAAGTTTCAGTCAAATACGCGGTAAAAAATCATCAATCAGGATGGACCAAGTCACAATCCCCAATAGTGCACGACCCCACGCTCGCCATCAAGCGTGTGTCTCACCTCAATATAGCACTACGATGTGCAATCCGGGGTTTCAAACCCTCAGAGCATCATTTACAATCATTACTCACCTCGAACCGGCTAAATCTCTAGCTCGCGATGCCTTTTGCCCCTCAAATCAGCCTCCACGCGTGTCGAATCTATCCAAAATCAGAACGAATACGTCACAATATGCCAAGGGAACAAAGCCCAAGCGAAAACAATCAAAAAATACCAAAAATCCCAAAATTAGCAAAACCCGAGCCCCGGGCCCACTTCTCGAAACTCAGAACTTTTTAGATTATTAGATTCCTTATCTCCCACGCGTCTATGCATATCAAGAATACCAAAATCGGAGTTCAAATGACCCCTTAAATCCTCAATCTAAGGCCTCTTAAACTCAAGCCCTAATCCTCCATTTTTAGCCCTTAAATTCCTTTAATTTTAGTCTAAATTCATGAAATACCACTATAGAAATGTGTTTTAGGTCCGAAATTCCTTACCTTAACGAAGTCTCTTGATTCTCTCTTCAGAATCGCCTCAAAAGCTCCAAGGTCGAAGCCAAAAATGGTGGAATAACCCAAACTCGCGAATCAAATAACATATATGCTCTATCCAGCCCTTTCCGCATCTACGGTCAAAGATCCACTTCTGCGGTACCGCATTTGCGGTCTAAACCTCCACTTATGCAGAATCACTTAAGGGACCAAAGCCGCTTCTGCGACTAATCTCCCGCATCTACGACATCGCAAGTGCGGGCACCATACTGCTTCTGCAATCTCTGCCCATCTAACCCTTTTTTGCTTCTGCGATAAATCACCCGCATCTACTGCGTTGCATCTGCGGTCCCCAAACCGCAGATGCGAAAATACCAGAAGCAGCAAATCTGAAGCTGTAACCAACATCTAACTTCTCCGTTAAGCACCTGAAATCACCCCGAGGCCCCCGGGACCTCAACGAAAAGCACAAACATATCCTAATACCTTATTCAAACTTGTTCCAATCATCAAAACACTTCAAACAATAGCAAATCAACCAAAACACCTCGGATTCATGCCTAAGTTCTAAAATTTTCCGAAATACGCTTTTGATAAAAAACCCAACCAAATCACGTCTGAATGACCTGAAACCTTACACACACATCCCAAATAACACAACAAAGCTAATGCAGCTCTCAGAATTTCATTCCGACCTCTATATCAAAATCTCGCCTATCAACCGGAAAACGCCGAAATCTCAATTTTGCCAATTCAAGCCTAAACCTTCCACGGACTTCCAAAATGCATCCTGATCACGCTCCTAAGTCCCAAATCACCCAGCGGAGCTAACCAAATCATAAAATTTCTGATCCGAGATCATATACAAACAAGTCAAATCTTGGTCAAACCTTTTAAATTTCAAGCTACAAATTGAGAATTGTTCTTCCAAATTCGTTCCGATTTCCCTGAAAACCCAAACCAACGATTTACACAAGTCATAATACATCACACGGGGCTAGTCCTGCCCGAAGTCTGGCGATCAAAGTGCAAAGCTCAAAACAACCGGTCGGGTCGTTACAAAAGAAGTGTAAGATCGGGCTATGATTCATTATTGTCGTGACAATGCACCAAGTCTCGATTTTCCATGATGACATCTAAACTTAGAATTGTAGAATTCTCATCTTTGCAATTTCAAAATCAAGATTTTCCATTGAAATCTAGTACCAAATCGAGAATTCAAATTCTCATATCTGCAAATGCAAAATCTAGATTTGCCATGATGAAATCGACGAAATCTAAACTTAGAATGACGAATTCTCATATCTGCAAATGCAAAATCTAGATTTGCCATGATGAAATCGACGAAATCTAAACTTAGAATGACGAATTCTCATATCTGCAAATGCAAAATCTAGATTTGCCATGGAAATCTAGCACTAAATCGAGATGTCATCATGAAACTTTCTTATATAAAGAGATGTTGCCCGATCAGAGGATTGGAGGGCAATAGAGAGAAAGCTTAGAGCTAGAAGTCTAAATCCAAATTCTTAATAAGCTTCTCTACTTTATTTCTTTCACCAGTATCGAGTTATCTTTTCTTTTAAATCACAATAGCGGTTTAGTTGTTGTTTCTAAATAAATTTCAGTGTAGGAAATTACTCTAGTTCTTGCTTTTAATTAAATAGGGGGAATTATTCTTCTTGAATATTTCTTTCTATTTTCTTATTTAATGGACCAGAATATTTCCATTGTTAGTACTAGTTCCAGTATGGAGTAACTTTTCTTGTGTTGGGAGAAACACAGATCTTAATATTTTTATATAATAGTAGATATTATTCCTTAAATTCACATGCTTGAGCTAGAATTTATTTAACTTTTATCTGCTTTTACAGTTAGATGTTATTTAATTTATTAACATCTATCTATCGTGTACGACATATTAACTGTTTATTAATTCTGTAATCGAGAGAGGCGGAAGAAATAATATAGTTAAATGTAGTATTGATAAATGTTAATATTTATTCAGTAACATCTATCTCTTTTATGTTATAATTAATTTTACACTTATTTGTAATCGAGAGAGGCGAATGGTATAATAATTAGTTATAACAAGTAGGGTAACCGAAAGGGACTTACTATCAAGAGCATATTTTAGTTCAATCATATATTTTTGGTTCTTTAGTATTACTATTTTGAAGATTAATTTGTATAACCGAGAGGAGTGCAATTAATTATTCAACTTAAGTAATAATATATATTTGCAATCGTGAGAGGCATTTATACATTTTTGAGAAATAAAAATTGAAAAATAATAATTCTACTATATAATAGAAATATTAAGTGAAGTCAAGATCCCAACACCTTTTATTATATTTGTGAAAAATAAAATATTTTCTACTGCTCTATTCATGTATTTTTAGTTAGTTAATTTACAACTCAACTCTTTCTGATTTTCTCAAATAGTAATTAACATAAGAAACGTCTGTAAAATAGATAAATCAATCTCTATGGGTTAGATATCTTTCTATACTATAATTTGACAGAGTATGAGTTTAATTTATACACTCGCCAGACACTCGTCAAATTTTTGGCGCCGTTGCCGCGGATTGGCAATATCTATTTCAGATTAATTATTTTGTTACTAATTTGAGAACTTACTATAATAATAATAATAGTTATTATTATTATCTTTTTTTTTGTTTCTACTGTACCTATTAATACCAGTAACGTTTTTTTTCTTAGTTTTCTCTTATTAATAATAATACTACTTACTGTTTTCGTATCATTTTCTTTCTTCATCGTTTTAATTTATATTTTACTCTACAATATCATACTATTATTTCTAGGATTAGGTAGTCTTTTCATTATAAAAAAAATACTTTATGTTCTGTTTTTAATTAGTATCACTAGTTATATTAAGTACTACTACTATTTTAATTTTTATAAACTTTTTTTTGGTGTCACCACTACTATTTTAGGAACTAAGTTTGATTTTCTTTCAACAAAAAAAAAAATCTTTGTTATAAGGATTTCAGGTAGTTTATGACCCGCTCTTCAACAAAAGAGTTGGCAAATTATGACCCAAAAATTGAAAAATCTCTTCGATTGAGCAGGAAAGGACAAACATCATCTCCTCAAAGTATAGATTGTGAAGAAATGGAGAACGAATAACTTAACAACAACCAACTCCCACCACATCAAGTAGAAGAACAGTTTGATGAGGTAGCTCCACGACGTGACATAATACTTAGAGATTATGCAAGGCCAGATCATTTTGAAGGAGAATCAAGTGTGAGGAGACCACCAATTGCAGCAAACAACTTTGAAATTCGCACAGGCTTGATTCAAACCATTCAACAGTCATGTCAGTTTATTGGTGATGTGAGTGAAGATCCTCACACCCATTTAATTGATTTTCTTGAATTAGTTGAAACTTGTAGGTATAATAGAGTCACAACAGATGCTATTAGGTTGCAGCTTTTTTCTTTTTCATTAAAAGGTGAAGCCAAAACATGGTTGCGAAGTCTACAATAGGCTCCATTACAACATGGGACCAAATGACCTAAAAAATTCTTAATAAATATTTTTCACCTGCAAAAACATTTAAAATGAAGCAAGAAATCAATAATTTTATGTAGACAGATTCTGAATCTGTATACCAGGCATGGGAAAGATTAGTAGCAATGTTAAAAAAATGCCCATATCATGGTATCCAAGACCCTGACATTTTATATATTTTCTATCACGGTCTTAAACCCTCTGCTAGAAATGTAATTGATACAGTATCAAGAGGATCAATAATGGGAAAAACTACTGTAGAAGCAATGCAATTGCTTAATGAGATTTCGGAAAATGCTGTTCCATGGCCCTCAGACAGAATGATTATCAAGAAAATGACAGGAGTAAATCAAGTTGAAACTTTGAATTCATTGACACAACAAATTGCTACCTTAACACAAAAAGTTGAGGCTTTTCAGGTAGGTGCTCACACATTATCCCAACTTGAGAATTGTGATGTTTGTCAAGGTAATCATCCAAATCATGAATGTCAAGCTTTAACACAAAATGAGGAACATGTAAATGTGATTGGTTATAGAAATAATTACTCATTCGGTAGTCCCATGACACAAAAACATCCAGGCTTTCAATGTAGTAATCCTAATGGTGCTAAAAATCCTCAAAGATTTTTTAATCAAAAGCAGCAGGTACAGGGACCACCTGGTTTTCAAAATCAAAATAGAGGGCAACAAAATTTTCAACAATATCAACATCAGCCTCAAAGAGCTCATCAACAAAGCCTTGAAGACATGGTGTACAAATTCATTAAGGCTACTGATGAGAAGGTTGAAAGTCAACATTCAGCTATCAAGAATTTGAAAATTCAGGTAAGCCAATTAGCGACCCTCATGTCTGGACAAATTCAAGGTGCTCTACCAAGAAACACTAAGAAAAACCCAAAAGAATACCTCAAAGCTATCTCTCTACGATCAGGTAAATCTCTTGATAATCCATATGCAGATAGAGAAGGAAAACCACAAAAAGTGGAAAAGGTAAATGAAGGCGAGAATAAAATAGAATCTAAGTTTCCAAAAGAACAAAACAATAAAGGAAAAAATGTACAAGAAAATAAATTGATAACAAATCCTCACTCTGTACCTCTCCCTTTTCCCTAAAAGATGAAAAGAGAAAAGCTTGACAAATAATTTTTAAAGTTTCTAGATATTTTGAAGCAACTTTACATTAACATACCTTTCACAGATGCTTTGACATAAATGCCTTCATATGCTAAATTTCTTAAAGAAATTCTGTCAAGTAAAAAAAAATTGGAAGAAGTTTCAGTAGTTAAGCTTACAGAAAAATGTAGTGCTATACTTCAAAATAAGCTCCCGCAGAAACTTGGTGATCCAAGAAGTTTTACAATTCCTTGTACCGTGGGAGGTACTCACTTTGAAAAGACGTTATGTGATTCAGGTGCTTCAATAAATCTAATGTTTTTTTCAATTTTTAGAAAATTAGAACTTGGTGAAATGAAAGATACTGGTGTCTCTCTTCAATTAGCTTATCAAAGTACTAAGAGACCAAAATGAATTATTGAAAATATCCTTGTCAGAGTTGACAAATTTGTATTTCTAGTAGACTTTATAGTGCTTGAAATAGTAGAAAATACTGAGGTACCATTAATTTTAGGTAGACCATTTCCCGCAACAGGAAGAGCAATTATTGATGTTCATCAAGGACAATTAATATTGCGAGTTGATGAGGAAAGAGTGATTTTTGACATGCATAAAATAATGAAATTTCCTGGGGATGAGTCATCATCATCTTGTTTTCAAATTGACTTACTAGATGGCCTTGTAGAGGAATACAAAGATAATCAGTTAATTACTGATTCATTGGAGAGATGTTTGGCTAGGTCAAGTACCATAAGTGATGATAACCCCGTAATTAGAGAACAAGCTGAAATAGTAGAAAAAGAGTCAGAAAATAAGAAAGTCTCACAAGAAGGAGTACAATTAAAAATTGAACTCAAAGAACTTCCTTCTCATTTAAAATATGTGTTTCTTGAACCTGAATTATTTCCAGTAATCATTTCATCTTCTTTGACTATAGAACAGGAAAGTAAACTGATTGGAGTCCTGAGAAAACACAAAAGAGCCTTAGGGTGGACTATAGCTGACATTAAAGGAATCAGTCCAGCTATTTGTATGCACAAGATTCTTATGGAGAATGATTATAAGCCAATATTCCAACCCCAAAGGAGACTAAACCCGACAATGCAGGAAGTCGTCAAGAAAGAAGTGGTGAAACTTCTAGCAGCAGGTATCATTTATCCAATATCTAACAGTCCTTGGGTAAGTCCCGTACAAGTAGTACCAAATAAGGAGGTATGATAGTAATAAAAAATGAAAATAATGAACTCATTCCTACTAGAACAGTCACAGGATGGAGAGTCTGTATTGATTACAGATGACTTAAATGATACCACAAGGAAATATCATTTTCCTTTGCCCTTTATTGATCAAATGCTTAAAAGAGTTGCAGGCCATGGTTTCTTCTATTTTCTTGATGGATATTATGGGTATAATCAGATACCAATTGCTCCAGAATATCAAGAGAAAACCACATTCACATGCCCCCAAGGTACGTATGCTTACCGAAGAATGCCATTTGGACTATGCAATGCTCCTGCTACATTTCAGCGTTGCATGCCGGCAATTTTCTCAAATATGACTGAAAAGTTTCATGAAATATTTATGGATGATTACACACTTTTTGGTAAGATATTTGAAGATTGTCTCTACGACAACTTTGGTGCTTAAAAGATGTGAAGAGACAAATTTAGTTCTTAATTGGGAAAAATGTCATTTCATGGTAACAGAGGAAATTGTTTTAGGACATAAAATTTCTGCTAAAGGGATAGAAGTTAATAAGTCTAAAATTGATCTTATAGCAGGATTATCCTCTCCTACCACTATTAAAGGCATTAGAGGTTTCTTAGGGCATGCATGTTTTTATAGAAGGTTTGTAAAAGATTTTTCAAAATCTCAAAACCTTTGACTAACCTACTGATAAAAGATGTGAAGTTTGAATTTTCAGATGATTGCAAAAAAGCATTTAAGATTCTCAAGGAACATTTGACTAATGCTCCAATTCTTGTTTCTCCTGATTGGAGTGAACCATTTGAGATAATGTGTGATGCAAGTGATATAGCAGTTGGAGCGATATTGGGGCAAAAGAGAGACAAGATTTTCAGGCATATTTACTATGCCAGTAGAACCCTCAATGCAGCTCAAAAGAATTATGCTACAACTGAGAAGGAACTACTTGCAGCAGTATTTGCATTTGACAAATTTCATTCCTATTTGATAGGAATAAAGGTTACAATTTATACTGATCATGCAGCTTTAAAGTACCTCTTAGCAAAGAAGGATTCTTGATCCAAATTGCTAAGATGGATACTCCTTTTGCAAGAATTCGATCTTATAATAAAAGATCGAAAAGGTTATGAGAATCAGGTAGTTGATCATTTGTCTCGTTTGGAAAATCCTCCTACCGAGATAGAAGATATCAAAGAGGGATTTCCCGATGAACATATATTTTTAGTCACAACCGTTATAACTTAACCACCTTGGTTTGCTGATATTGCCAACTATTTGGCTGGAGGATGGATTCCAAAAGATTTTTCTTATGAACAAAAGAAAAAACTTAAAAAAGAAGCAAGACATTATTACTGGGAAGATCCTTACTTGTTTAAATTTTGTGCAGATGACATAATTAGGAGATGTGTGCCGGAGACAGAAATAAACAACATCTTAAGTCACTACCATGATGAGGCTGTAGGAGGACACTATGGAGGAAGAAAGACAACAACTAAAGTACTTGAAGTTGGATTTTTCTGGCCTACTCTATTCAAAGATGCAAGGAATTATGTCGCCACTTGCGATAAATGCCAAAGAATCGGTAACATTTCAAAAAGGGATGAAATGCCTCTTAACTCTATTTTTGTGTGTGAAATATTTGATGCTTGGGGCATTAATTTTATGTGTCCTTTTCCTCCTTCAAATGGCTATGAATATATTTTGATAGTTGTTGACTACGTTTCAAAATGGGTAGAAGCAGTTGGTACTAGAAAAAATGATGCTCATATTGTTTGTGCTTTTCTCAAAAAAAATATTTTTTCTAGATTTGGAACTCCACGAGTTATAATAAGTGATCAAGGAACTCATTTTATAAATAGACAATTTGCTAATTTGTTGTTAAAATATTGTAACGACCCAAAAGGTCATCACTTGTTTTAAAATGAAATTCTATGTTTTGAGGCCTTAAAACCCATTTTTAGCATCACCTTAATTTGTGTGCGCAGTCCGGGCGCGTAGCCGAAAAGCTTATATGTGAAAATCTGTGAAAAATGATAAATTTTGACTATAAAATGAGTTAATTTGACTTCGGTCAATGTTTTGGGTAAACGGATCCGAACCTGTAATTTGACGGTCCCGGAGGGTCCGCAGGAAAATATGGGACTTGGGCATATGCCCGGAATCGAATTCCGAGGTCTCAAGCCCGAGAAATGAATTTTTAAAGGAAATTATTTTCTAAAATTGTTTAAAGGAATTTGAAATGAATTTTGATTAGAACATGCTAGTATCGGGACCGTATTTAGGTTCTGGCACCCGGTACAGGTCTTATATGTGATTTAAGATAACTCTGTGAAGTTTGGTAAGAAACGGAATCCGTTTGACGTGATTCGGACCGTAAATGCAAAGTTTGATGGTTTAAGAAGTTTTGAAATATTTTATCGATTTTGAGGTTTAATTCGTTGTTATTGATTGCATGGATAAGTTCGTATGATGTTATTGGGTTAGTACGTATGTTTGGTTTTGAACCCCGAGGGCTCGCGTGTGTCCAGGGATTTTACTCTTCGTGTTCATGTGGTCCCTCTCGCGAACGCGTAAGGCAAATCTCCCAGATGCTAGATTTCTTCTTCGTGAACGCGAATCTTGAGATGCGAACGCAGGGGGGATACCCTTCGCGAACGCGTCCATGCACTCGCGAACGCGTAAGGTTAAAAGCCCGGGGAGGAGTCACCATTTTGTGCATCGCGAATGCGGCCACTAGCCCTCGAACATGTAGACTTGAGGAGCCAAAGCTCCGCGAACGCGAAGGTCTGTCAGACCTAACTCATCGTGAACGCGATGGGCTTTTCACGAACGCGATGACCAGTTTTGCCTAGTTATTTTAAAAGTCCAGAAACAATAGCCATTATGGGATTTCTTCTAAAACTCATAACTTCTGCATCTAAACTCCAAATTGGGCAATTCTTGAAAGGGGATTCCACCACCAATTCATAGGTATGTAATCTTAGACTCATTTTCTTCAATTTTCATTAACACCCATTAGATTTCTAGGTTTAAATCATGTTCTTAAGGGTAGAAAATTAGGGATTTGGGTAGAGTTAGGGCTTTTTGATTATTTGTGATTTGGACCTCGTTTTGGGGTCGAATTTTGGAACTAATTATATATTCGGGCTCGTGTGTGAATGGGTGATCGGGTTTGGGTCCGAACCTCGTATTTTGACCAAGCGGGCCCGGGGTTAAATTTTGACATTTTGGGAAGAATGATTAGAAAGCTATAATTAAGCATTGGAATTGGATTGTTTAGCATTTATTGATGTTATTAAGTCGATTATGTCTAGATACAATTTATTTGGAGCCGAATTCAAAAGGAAAAACGGTGTTTGAGGCTTGAGTGGCCGTGGAAGTTTGAGGTAAGTGTTTGGTCTAACCTTAGCTTGAGGGATTAGGAGTCGTGTCTATTTGCTACGTGTTAATTGTGGAGTACGACGTATAGGCATGGTGACGAGTATCTATACGTCGATGTCAAACATGCCTGTGGGTCTTGTATTATTAATTATTATGACTCCGTTGTGGTTTATTGTGCCTCACATGTTATTATCATCATTGTTCCCTTGTCGGGATGTTTTTCTGATATTATTGTTCCCTTGCCGGGATATTGTTGAGATATTATTATTTCCTTGCCGAGATATTGTTGAGATATTATTGTTCCCTTGCCAGGATAGTGTTGAGATATCATTGTTCCCTTGCTGGGATGTTTGTTTGATATTATTGTTCTCTTGCCAGGATTCCTTGCGATTATTGTTGGCTTGTAAATGGGAGCGGGTGGTATGCCTACCACAAGATATAATAAAATGGGAGCGGGTGGTACGCCTACCACAAGATATAATGAAATGGGAGCGGGTGGTACACCTA